ATACGGAACCTATCAGTTAGCTTCCATACCGAAGTGTGTGACATTCTCAATTCGGTCTAAATTAGTCAATGAGTTGCTTCCACGTAGTTGTTCGTACGCTACTCGCTGCTCACACTACGGCTGATGCGGCCACATTTCTAGTGGAAACAACGGCGGACATTTCGCATTTCCTATGCAATTCAAACGACAAACGTAACTGTCTTCGAACCACCCAAGAAGCTGCTGCAGATCGTTCAGAAATTCTTCAGCTAGCCGATCGACTGCTTCATCCAATGCAGTAATGGGCACAAACGCCAATGCTGTACTCATTCTCGTTTTCAGCGCGAAATCAGCATCGGCATTGTACGCAACGAGCAAATGCAATTCACCCAAATGCTTCTTCATGTCATGGTTCAGATGGTAGAAACATCGATGAAGTTAAACTTTCGAGAACGCGTTCTTCATTGCATACGTCGGCGCAATTTCGAAGTCACAAGAAATCGAATTTGGGTGAACATCCGGTAAAAGAGCTTTCAGCATCTGAAAGAGCACGTACTACTTCGCTGTCTGTTTGCCTAGCAAAAGCGCTCATAAAACAGGATGGACACCACTAAACCTTTCTGCCCGCTCTGTTTAGACTTGACATAACAGTGGCGGTGCAGGTTTAAATGTTCCATCTGCAAACCACGTTCTCGACTCCCTCAAGATCTGCAGATTCTCCTGCAGGCCAAAAATTAATAATCGATTGGGTCCAGGTCCACTGTCACCAATAGGAACGAATCAAAGAAACCTGGCTGCGGTGCATACCCTTTATACAATTCCGGCAGAATCAGTGTTTCTAGATTGATGGGAGCTGACGGAGCGGTGTTTACTTCATTTCTTCTTCGTATTGTATTGTAATCTTCTAGAGTGCTCGAAGATTTTTAAATGAACCCTGAGCCCCTTGCGACAGTCCAACTGCGTACTGGTTTATAACTTTCGTGGGCGCTTCCATGCTGTCTTCGGCACGTCTTTTGATCTTTGTCACAAGTACGTTTGTTACTTCTGCATCCGCCACCGATCCATCATAAAAATGTTCACCAATTTTCACGACAACAGATGTACCTGCTGTGCATGTCCAAAGTTGCTTTGTACATCAGCTCGTTGCTCTTCGATGAAAGGCTGACTTTAAAGTTTAAACAAATTTAAATTTTTGTGAAATAATTGGGCAATTTCGCAATTACTTTCACTCTGAGACGTCTCGAGCCGAATCGTCCCACTTCGCAATTTTAATGTCCCCGTAACCATAGCAGTCCTTTAGACTTTGATGGCACATCTCATCATTCAGGATACCAAGCATATGCTGTCTTACATTGCCAAGCATTTATTCCATGCGGTATATCTAGCCCCAGATTAATACTTTTTGTTTTGTTACGAGAAAGTAAATAAACATTCTACTCTTTTATGATTAATTTCTGATCGAAACAGATTATTTGTAGCTGCTAAATGATTCCGATAAAGTGCGTCCTCCGTGAATCGTGCAATATTCTTATTCAGTACATTATAAGTTACTGTTCATTTTTAAACTGTTTCAGAACAGAGGCCAGACGCCCTTATTCATAGCTTCTGCAAACGGAGCCATTGGTCTGCTTCGTATATTATATCGACTAGGAGCTGATCCAAAAATCTGTGACAAGGCATAAAAACCGTACTCTTGACCGAAAATTACACAGCGAAATATTTAGGACGGGAAAACACCAGTACACATCGCTACAGAACATGGCCGTACGTCAACCGTAGAGATACTAGCGGACAAGTTTCATGCTTCAGTGCTTTCCAGGACAAACGTTCGTTCTTGCTCATTTCCATTTGGTATGGACAGAAAAGTATTATTTAGGATGGCAGTACCATGATGCACATCGCCTCCTTGTTCGGCCATGATCAGACGGCAATGGTGTTCCTGAAAAGAGGAGTGCCGTTGCAAATGCCAAACCGAGTAAGCTTGAGGGTTTTAGTAGACAGCATTGAACAGAAATATTCACACTATTGCTATGCAGAATGGCTTACAAGCATTGCATTGTGCTGCGATGCACGGGCATCTGACAGTGGTAAAGGCGTTGTTGAAGAAAGGATGCCCAATCGACTTTAAAACCAAGGTAGGTGCAATATTATTCCGTCATATTATCATGTATCACTAGTCCTGAAAAGGGTGAGAAGCCTATCGTAGCTTTAGGCCAGGCCAGAAGCTTCAAACATTGTCTGCAGAAAAACGAAGTCGATGACTCCCTTTATCTTGAGTAGTAGAGTTTAGTATTATTTTGTTCGAACGACCAATTTTCTTAGAATGCAAATATCATTTTGAAATACATTTCAAGTCAAATTTCATTTCTCTAGAGATGTAACGCTTGAGCAGTGCCGTTCTTGAGTTCAGAAAACTTGTTAGATAACGAGCGTCCACATCGAAAATACATAAAATTATACGAACGGTCAGGCCCGCGATATGATATACAAAAGTTATCTATTGATGCAATTTTTAAGGTATTAGTGCTTATTTTTCTTCTGCACTAGAAAGTCAGTGCTTCTCAATTTATCCAATATAATTTATTCACCAGTATAAATAATAATAAAATTATTTGTGAGCGCTTCTACATTTTACCACGCTTGTTTTGTTATCGAATTTCATTTTAATTTTATTATTTATGGAATCTAGATATTTGATCTTCGAAGAACTAGATTGGTGAATTCACTTAAGCCTCAAGTCAATGTTAATGGGGCTCGTTTATTTGGCTTATCACCGGGATTATTGAAAACATCTTTTAAAGCAGCTGCAACTGCTACTGAAAAGTTTGTTGGCGTGCAAAACAAATGAATGAATTCATGTGCTACGCTTTTCATGTATAATATTATGTTTTTGAGATGCTGTAATTCACATCTAGTAGTTAAAGGCAACATTCTCAATATATTTTCTATCATATTTTATAGTAGGTTGCTAAATCAGGCAACCTCATGTAGTTGTATTGTCAGTAAGTGGTATGAT